TTAACCAGTGACAACGTTCAGATTTTTTGCCGAAATCACGTTGAGAGTACTCCTGATGTTCCTCGATGCAACAATGAAATTCATCAATTTCTCATGCAGCCGGTGAGCATTACTGTAGCAGGATAAAACCGCTGCTCATCAAAAGGTGCAGTGCCAGCTTCACTGCACGTGTTACGAATAACTCCTGTCCCGAAATATCTCAGGCCGTAAGCAGAAGTCGACTTAGACATTACAGTGACCCCTTGCAGATTACTCGAATACTAGCTTCAAGAATTTCTTCAGCAGTCCTGATCATCAGTTAGGCAGGTTCCATGAACCGGATTTCGAAGCCAACGTTTGTCGACACGTTTCACAACAGCAACCCTTAAAGTCACCTCATTTTTACCCCTTTGTTCTGGATCGCATTCCCATGGCCACTAATCAGTACTTAAATTCGTAGATGAGGATGATCGTGAGGAGGAACGTAAAGAGCTGATGACTTCCCTTAACATATAATACTACAGATATGAGTTCCGGCCTTGACGGGACAATAGATAGCAGTAATATGTAGTTTCGTTCTCAGGAACGGAACACGTTTAGGTATTTAGCTCTGAAGATGGCGCTTGTACCTGATAATCAGGCGGTAATGATAAAGAATTTCCAGTCCTATGCCATGTTTTGAAACCCATCAAAATGATATATATGCCTAGGCATTGATCACGAGTCTGAATATTTAACGTTTGCTATGTATGCGAGATCATAATCGTTAACTTTATGCATAAGCAGAACGTCAATCACTCGCGATGTCCTCACTCACTCACACACAATCAGCACTGTTATTACAAGACATCAGTTACTGTATCGCAGGATGAAATATTCCTCTCCAAAATGGATCTGTCTCTTACTTGTTCCTCCATGCTGTGCGCTGGCCTCCTGATTCACATCTGCCGTGTTTCGGCTCCCACATGAGAAGCTCCTGGGAGGAAGTTCATAGTTTACGCTCAACCACTTGGACTAACAGGGCCAATCTCACTTTCTTAATCTCGAAATCTATTCAGATAACAGAACGAGTTCATTTAACCCTGATTATGTGTCGAAAACATGTCGAATATTTTTTTGCGAATTGTAAACATAGCTTTCATTTGTTTTTAAGGCAGCCATTGATTGACATAGCTGACACTTGAGCTTGGTAGTGGTCATCGAGCAATCTATGCTAAGCAATGTATCGCCAAAGTCATGGCCTTACCGCTGAAACTAAATGCTACCCGGAAGAAGATGTGCATCAACTTAATCAGACGACTCCTGGACCTGTGGCAGACAGAATCAGCGTCCAGCATCCTTCAAAGTTGAACGTGATGGGAAATGATGCCGAGAATGACAAGCTGATGAAGCTGAAGATTTTGTCTTCCATTGATGGCAGACAAAGGCAACTGATGAAAGAATCGTTTCAGGTCGGTTCAAGAAGTATGGCTGAGCTTGGAGGACGGCTGTTTTCAAGGTAAATTTATTAACGTTATAAAATTAATTGACATTAATAATGTATGGTAACGTCGTTCTGGTAAACAATGCGATGAGAATATTACTTTTGTTGTTGTCAAATGGACTCAGGGCTTGACAGAAGTTGGCGATGCATATGAGCGGTATTTCATGAGATACACAGCACACATATTAAGTTTATTTTGATTAGGAAATGTTTGTCGGCGGTGCAGAATAGTGGGTCGTTCTTAGGTGGTTCCTTTCATGTTTGCTGTAGGCTGGCCATACGATCCTTAGAATCGTCTAAGGGTAGCAGTTCTTGGTGCATTTACTCAAAACAGTGTTCGAGAGCGAAGCAAAAATTTTCTGATTTCAGCTAGGGCACAGGATTGGCTGCATTGAATTTTCGACCATGGGGCTGCACACTCGCTTTATCGAAGAAACATCAAAGTATCTTTCTGGCCTGGAGTACGCGGAGGATATGACTCTGACGAGTAGGAGGGACTGAAGGTTTTGTCACGTTATGGTTTCCGCATTCAACAACCTACAGAAATCTATGTTCTTCGTTGACGCTTCTTAAAAATTGTGAAGAATCAATCTGGCACGATAAATCTACGAATGGAATGGGAAAGTGATTGATGGCGTAGGTTGAGCAATTAAAGTACTTAAGCTCTATCATCTCCACCGACAGTCCAAATCAGTCAAGTTAAACATAAGGATATTCAACGATTTCTCAGTCCTTGATTACCAGTTCACTATCTGTTCTGAGAAATGATTATCAGATGAGACAAAAATATGCCTGTGCCTTGCCTCTGTAAGGCAAGGTCACTGTTGTTGAACGACATGGAGACGTTGACTGTTCAAAATCAAAGGCTCGAAAATGATATTTGTACGGTAAACAGCAGCATTGCGTTCAGCCCATTAAATGGCAGAGCCACCAACAGTGACACTGCTCTTTTCCGGGCAGACTAGTACTCAATACAGCGAAGGAAGTAGGCCCTATTAGGCCTCGACAAACAACCGATCTGAAACATTCGAATGCTGTACACCCTGACCGTGATGTGCACAGGTAGACCGCTACAGCAATCGTGAATCATTTCCAGGAGGTCATGAAACTGGCAAAAAAGTTAGATCGTGAGATATTCAGACAAATGCAACAAAGCATTGAGTAAAGCACTTCACGAATATGACAAAGTGAGGAACTCATTGAATTTGCAAAGAAAATTCAATTATCAGAAAACCGATAGAAGTTCGAAAAATCACCAGGAGACAGGCTGAAAGTTTTCTTGAAAACAACTAAACTCTTCGTTACAGGAAATGTGAGATTGAATTCAAAGGATGTGAAATAATCGAATTATGCAAAATCTGGCTGTGAGGTTGAGAGGGAGGTCGTTAGAGTGGTCCTCAAAAAAATGCACCAATTATTGCACGGAGCCATGAAGCTGGCTAAAGACATATGAAAAACTGAGGAAGATGTTACAACGAATTTTAACTGCACCACACAAACGTGATAAAAGGAAAACCTCGTGGAATTGGTAAAGCAAAATGGAGGAAATTCAACTCCCAGAAAATCTGGAGAAAAAACTTCGAAAACTCGTCAGAGGACAGCTGGAAAGTGTCGCAGGCGAATGACGAAATTACTGAAAGTCACGAGATTCCACAAATACAAAATAAAAGGATGGAATTCAATGGACCTGAATTATTTGATTCAAATAGAGCCTGATTGTGAGTTGAAGGGATAAGTCGCCAGAGGGTTCCACCAAAAAAGTAGGTGAATCCTTTTTAGGGTGTCAAGAACCTGAATAAACTTTGGGAAAAAGGAAGGCGAGAAAAGTGTCACGACGCAAATGGCACTGCGTACCACGGATATGTTACAAGGAAGAACTCTATTTTTTGGCATGGTCAACTGGAATGAACCCAAAATAATTATACTGGATTGAAATAGCGAAAATATACAGTAACTTATACCGAGACTGAGGTAGTATAAAATAGATAGAGGTCTCACCGCGATATTGCTCCGCCCTTGCTTCTAGTCCCCTCGGGGGGGGCATTTAAGCTTGCTAATATTGCATTCATGCGCCGGCAGGATAGGAAGCACGACTGCTTCTCTTAGTCGGGTTGAACAAGGGCATGTTCAAGCACAAGGACGTTAGCCACTGTCCGCGGGCAAATAATCAAAATAAATAATTTATCACTGATGCTCTCAAATTAAATAATGAACTTAATTTGACTAGCGCACGACTCAGAAGCAAAACACTTTATACATGTTGACATGAGGCCAAACGTTAAAGATGATTTCAAAACTAATCAGACAAATTATACAAAAATTATTATACCAGAAATACACCCGCGGAATTACGGGCTTCCTCTCAAACCGTTGGTTTTTAATATCACCAGTGACAGCAACATTCATTTGTCATTTCGCCAGATTCACACGACGTTTCGTACCGTTCCCTTGTGCTAGTAGTCTGGGGGACTGCTTAAGGAGACCAGACCGCGTCTACAGGTATTTTGGTATTTTAGCACCTGCAGTGCATTAGGTCAAAACAGTACTATCAATGAACTATTTTCCATCCTCAATGCAAAGTTTGCTTTGCCGTTATTGAAATGGTCCCTATGAACCATTTGCTTAAGCAGAACCTCTTTATTTTGTGATGTAAGGTGTAGCCGCAGCTTTTGGACACTTTTGCTACAGAGCATTGGTTGTTGCATCGTGAAAGAACATAATCCTCCCAGGAGGCAGGTGTGCGATTTCCTTATACCTCTACGTTGTACGCTGGCCTCCTGGTCAGCATTTGTCGTGTTTCAGCAAAACTGAAACGGAAAGAGTAGATTTTCATGCCCGTTCACAACGTTAACCTTGATTATGGAGTAATCTTATCATTAATGTCGTTAACAGCCATGAAGTTTTATATTTTACTTTAAATTTGAATTTTTAATAACGTTCTCTTCTCAACTACCATCCGTGAAATGTCTAATCTTTGAAGAATGGTCCAGCAAAATCCATCGCTCAAGAAAGTCGTTCCGTCAACGCGCTACCTAGACGATTCCCTACTTTCCGATGATTCGAACGTCATAAATGGAGTTGCAAAATGCCTCACAGCTTTGCGCGAATTTGTCGATGGACTTCTCGAAGGCGACGAAGCTTTGTTGCCACTGATGGACCGAATGGCTGTTGCTCACGTGAAGCACCGACTTAACAGAGCTCTTGTTAAGGTAAATTTTAATCCTTTACACTTAGCGCGTCATCACATCCCGAGGGAGCGAGTTCTGCTACGTTTTCCCTC